TTTTTTTTTTGGGGTTCTCCTTCTCCAATGTGCTGAACTATTCAGCATTGCAAGTCCTCATACTGTAGATTAAGGTTGGGGTTGTTATGTAAATTGATTGATCCATGTGAGATGATTAGAGTCGTCTAAAGTTGAGTATTTATAGCTTTATCGGCTGGAGGGGAAAAGTCAATTGGCTCAGCTAGCATTTGATCGTGCAAGAAGTATTGATCCTTCACTTTCATTGCCATGGGCAGGCATGTCAGCTGATGCTGCTGCAAGGTAAATTCATTTATGTTATATAAAAGAACATAAACAATGATGCATTTACACCTTTTATGTGAAATATAAAGCTGAATACGCTTCTTAAACAGGAATCTGAAACCAGACGAGGCTTACGAGTGCTGTCTTCGGGCGGTTCAGATCTTTCCAGTACATTTCTCTCTTTCAGTGTTGTTTTCAGAATTTTTTTGAACTTTCACCTTTTTTTTAACAAGATGTTTGAATTTTCACCTTGTCTGGGAGTTTTTCATGTTGCGTTTGTATCTAAAGTTTGTATCAGGTGAGCATCATGATGCTTCTGAAAACAAACTTTAGAGTTCAGATACAAACCTATATACAGGCGATATGGTTTTTTCCAGTTGTTCATTGTCCAATTTGGAGGTTCTTACAGTGCCTGTGTATGAATAGCTTGCAGAATTCCAAACTGGTCTAGTTAAGCTTGCTCTGCAGTCTGGTTATCTGCAATCTCCAGAGGTACTTAAGCACTCAGTTTACAATCGATTCTTGTCTGTTTAGGCTCTGAGTAATTGACAAGGGAATACTTCGGATAGCATTGAGTCTATAACAGCAACAATAACAACAAATCCAGTGTAATCTCACAAATGGGGTGTGGGAGGGTAGTGTATACGCAAGCCTTACCCCTACCTTGTGAAGGTAGTTGGATAGCATTGAGTCTAAGTTTTTATAATTGTTATACCAGGCATTTGGAGCCATCCAGCAGGCTTTGCAGCGTGCACCTCAGTATCCTGAATCTCACAATCTGAAAGGGCTAGTTTGTGAGGCACGAGGTGATTATGAAAGTGCTGTTGCCTCGTATAGACTGGCACGCCTTGCTGCCAGAGTTTTTGCAGGAAGAGTTTCAAAATCGTATCCAGCAGATATATCTATTAATTTGACCAGGTCGCTCTGTATGGTAATATACTTTATCACATCTTTTCAGGTTCAACTTGTTTTACTTCAGATCCAATTTGCAATGCTACTCTCTTTTTTTCTCACTATTTATGGGTGCTTTGATTAACTCTATTTTATGCAAGTTCTGAAATGCTATCCATACAGGCAGGAAATGCTGATGCAGCTATCCAAGAATGTAAATATTTGGAAAACAAAGGTATGATTCTTGATCATAACGGCATTAGTCGTTCCCAGTGAGAAACTACTCTTCTGTTTTCTGCTAAAGAAAAATATCTTTGTGAAGAAAACAATAAAAAACTATCATGGTGAAGCATTAGTGTGCTGCTTGTCTGTGATCAAATAATGATTATGAATTAAAATTTTACACGAGTGCTGAACTTCTTATTGGTGCAGATGTTAGGCATTGGTATGTCTTAGAGTTCACTTTAGCTGGTTTTGCTGAAATCATGGAGTAGCTTCTTGTATAAAAATTTATTTTGAATTTTCCCTTTCCTGCTTGCATGCTTTTGCTCTCATCCAATCTAGAGTGCTATGGCGATGTTTGGTCTCTTAAACCTGTAAATTCCATTTTCGCTAGGTCTTCTGGATGTAGAAGGTTTGCAGCTTTATGCGCTTTCTTATTGGAAACTTGGCAAGTATGACCTTGCTCTTTCAGTGGCAAAAAGGCTCGCCTCATCTGCTTTACCAACAGAACATTCATTGGCTGCTGCCTCCATCAGTTTCATCTGTAGATTAGTGTATCATATGTTAGGGCAGGAATTAGCTATTAGAAACATTTTGCAACTACCCAGAAGAGCCTTCGAGAGTTCACAAGTTAGGCTTGTAGCATCTGCTATTCATGCATTAGATGAAAGTCATCAGCTTGACTCAGTTGTTTCAAGTGTTCGTGAGTCTCTTTCATCTAGCAAAGAGATTGCTGCACTGGATTTCCTAGCCACACTTGGCTTACTAGTAAGTCTTCTATTTCAGTTGCCTCTTATGACTTGATGTTGGGCCGCTAAGTGTAAATCAGGATTTTCTTATCGGGATTTTAGGTCAAACATGGATCTAACGACTGCTTAGGAGTTCAGAAGGGAGTCAATTATCTAAGAAGAGCTCTTCATGTTTCTCCAAACAGTAATTTGATAAGGTGGTCACCTGAGCAGCTGCATTTTCATGTTCTCCCACTCTGTGCATGAACTAGTGAATTGTGATTGTTCGTAGCGCTTCACGTTAATGTTTTTTCTCCATTTATTTGAATTGTGATTTCCTTGAGATTGAAGGGTTGGCTAATTTTGAATGCAATTTTGGTGGCTCTTCCTGATTGAAGTTAGAAAAGAAGCGTGAGATTCTGTTTTTATATTAGAAAGCATCTGTTTTTTTTTTTTTGAAAAACAAAAGATTTTCTTGCCGTGGTTTTAGCCAGAAGAAATTTATTGGTTGTGCTCAAGTCCGTTTGTGTTTGACGAAACTAGCATGAGTTATAGTGGTTTCTCCTGTCAATTCGAAGGAGCTCAATTAAGCTCCTCGCTGAGACGGATGCAAAATGAGTATTTGTACATGCATGTTCCAAGTTACATGAGACCCATCATAGAGCAGTGTTGGTGTCAACAAGTTTTGGCAGTACAGCTGTTTTTACTAGTAGAGGGCTCAAATGAACTTGGAAAGAACAAAAAGCTAATAAACAACAGAAGAGATGTCCTAATATGTGCAAGTCATATTCCAACACTTCAAAAGCTTTTTGTTCGTTTTCCTCCAAATTACCCAGTACCCACATAAGTGATAAAGGGGTGACATTCCACGCATTACATTGTTTTCTTCTTCACATGAATACCCAACGATACATTCCTCCTCCACTGTCTCAAGTATTGCTCCCTATACTGCATACAAATTCAGGGCTGTCCACCATAGTTGACTGGCCACCTTGCAATGCACTAGTAGATGGTTCACTTTTCTACCCGAACACTTGCACATGAAGAACCAACTGACTTATTTGATTTTCGTTCTCAAATTCCTGTCGTCAAGATTACTTCTCTAGCCGCTATGTAACAAGCAGACCTTTCTTGGCTCTATCAGAATCTAGATTAATAAGTATGGAAATTCCGGATCCACCCTCTTCAATAGCCTGGTCTATAAGGACTATAGCATGTTAAGATCCAAGTCTTTTGACTCAGATACATAAGCCAAATAACTTATGCTACCTTGGGACTTGTCAGTGTTTTTAAGTTATCCGGAAATTTGTAATCAGAAGAAATATTGAACACAAATGAACAGAACTGCAATACATAATGTTGCTCTGGTGGGACATCGTACACTTGACAGGAAGTCCAAAGATTTTCAATCAGGGCATCTTTAATACTAGATATAATTTTGGACATGATATGTAAAAACATGCATGAACTGGATGCCCATTTCACTTCAGCATCAAGGTATGTAAAATCAGTCCAAAAACTTACCTTGAATATTCCAATTTAATGGCATTTAAGTTGTTTAAGGAGAAATTGTTATTGAAAAGGAGTTGAGGAGGTTGTGGAGGAGAAGAAAAACCTATGTTTTTCTCAAAAAAAGAGAAGAAAGACCTAATTGTAGAATGTTTATCCCATAAATCTAATTTTCCGAAAAATTTTCTACTTGATCTTCACAATGCCCATTATTATGTCTGTTAGAATAATTATGTGAATGTATGTAATTACTCCTAGTCCCTTATGTAATAGGAGTAAGTTATGTGTTATGTATACATTAAATAGGGCTTATTGTAACATAGTCAATATTAATCAATAATATTTTCTCCCGTGCATTCTCACATGGTATCAGAGCAGGACCCATACCGATTTTCCGATGTTGGGCCCCCATAATTATCCACGCTCCAGATGTCCAGTCCTGGACGTGAGAGGGGATGTTGAGTCCCACATCGACAATGAAGGGGATGGGTGGTCTCCTTATATGGACTTGGGCAATCC